CTATCCATACATAACAGAGAGCGGCCACCTCCACCCAGCTTCCTACAGCTCAAAAAGAACTACAGAAGCCCATCAAATCTTCCAGAAAGTTCAGACAGAGGATACGATTTAACATATTTGAGGAATGTATAACAAAATCTGGGCCAGCAACCCTTAATGGAAGAGAAAAAAAGACAACCACACTGAAAAAACTACTTTTTCCACTATGTTTCATCACTCTTGGTGCATAGGACCCCCCTTGTACACAAAGACAATGCTGGATGAGATTACATCTTGTTCCAAAACCTGACGCAAAGTACACACGCACAGAAAAATTCCAACTTTTTTACAGATTGGTCTGAGACCAGGCTCATCTGCACACACATTCCTGCCAACTGAAATAAAACAAGCAAGAGATATTAATGATATTCAAATGTACTACCTAAACACTCTACCTTAAATGCTTTACCTTTATTTGGAAACCTAAATTGCTTCCATGTGTTGCTTGCTATTTCAGTGCACACTACATACACATAAATTCTTTGCTCTATAAAATATATGGCCAAAACCCTGGCAATGTTCCGGTGCAGTTTGCCTTCAGCTGTTAACTGCAGGCCGAGGTGTTTCTGTTGTTAAAGCATTACAAAACTTGGCTTTCTAACCTGGCCGCTCACATCTGCATGCAGCCTTTAACACTGATTTTCTCTCTATGCGCGTGAGCTCTGTGAGAAGGTGAAGAAACAGCCATCTCGTGCCAAAACATCAAACTTGTGTACGTGTAAACAGCTTTATTTATTCCTGCCTTCTGTCAGCGGAAACAAAAAAATTCTGCACATGCGAGCAGAATCTTGGGGGATGGTGGGGAAAAGAAGGGCGGATAATGTACGTTTCGGTCTATACAGACTTGGTTTTCCACAATCTGACAAAGTTAAGCAGCTAGCGATGAACACCTGCGTGAATGTCGGGGGGGGGACGAGGTCTTGCTAATTGACAGTGTTCCTGCTGGAGCTTAATTGAGAGTGTTAGATTTCGCCGTTTGATCTGCTCCTGTGGGACAGCACATCTCCCACTCTCTACCTGCATTGCCCTGAGTGTTTTCCAACTCCCCCGCTGCATGCAAACAAGGCTGCTCACTGCTGAGAAAACCAGCGCTATTAAAGAAAAAAACAAGTTCAGCTTTTCTGTTGAGCTCTCCGGATGGAGCTGGCTCTCCGTCAGTGCTCCGAAGTCTTTGTAGCTTATATTTATCTAAATATGTCTTTGGAGTAAATCACAAAGCTGTCTGGCCTTTTGAAACTGGCTGAGCCCAGCCCTATTTTGGAAGAAGCTTGGCTGGATTCTGGGAGGCTTCGTTTCTCTGAAAACAATCAGTGGGCCGCTGCTCCAGCGCTGAGCCACAGCTCCATGGTTTATACGCTGGAGACACGCTGAACTATTAGCCAGCTATTGCGGCCTGCAAAAAAATGCACCACTTTACACAGCAATGTACAATTACCGTAATTATCATGCAAATGCTAGTGCCATCGGCGCATCTGGTTATTGCCCTAAAGTTACAAGAGTGTGTTAAGAGGTAATTACAATGCATATTACAGGGGACTGAGTAAAAACTACAGTTGCACGGAAGAGTTTTGGAAAGCGTTGCCAAGCGCTTCACTGCGCTAGCCAACCAGCTGCGTCAGAGCTGTCTCAGAAAGCGCTGGAGTCACACATTTGTGATGTAGGCTGGAGCGTCACGGTTTGGGTTTGTTGGGCTGCGAGGGCCAGGGCCAGGGCTGCCTCCCATCTGGAGCTCAGAGCTCCAGCACATCAGGCTATCGGGAGCAGAACACGGTGCCTCATGTGAGGAGGGTGATTTGCTTCTAATAAATAAGTGCTGTGAAAAGAAAACAAACTCAGCAAAGTGGGGGTGCGGAGCGCAAAACAAAGGAGTGCTTCATGATGCATAAACAAACCGTGGGCAAACAATTCTGCACATTCTCAGAAGGAGAGGCACACACGAGCCAGAGGGGAGCCTGGCCTGGCCCCAGCCTTTTACACCCGTGGCAGGCGTCAGGCAAACTGCAGGCCTGATCCATCAAAGCGGTCATGACAGGCCACCATCACACCCTGACAGACCAACAGCGTGCCTCTGCCAGCATTATTGTCTTCAGAAAATTAAAGAGAGAGAGAAAGAGCCCAGAATTGGCCGAGAGAGAAGCGATATCCTGCACTGTGCTCCCCATTTTCCCCTAAATCACACCAATCACATGCAATCTGAGCTCAGCGTAATGGCAGGGAGTGGTGGAGCTCCGTGGCTATCACTGAGAAAAATACCCTCTGCTTTAATGCTGGGGCCCGACTGTGCACAGGAAGCGGACTTAATATGGAGGCCCACTCAGCGCCACCATTAATAAATAGGAGCAGGCATATTCATGGCCTCTCTCTAATTCTTCATTTGCTTTCCATTATCCATCGGCATGGAGATTGGAGAGTGGGGAGAGGGAGGAGGAAGCTGAATCAAACCATCCCCTCGGATTGCATGAGTGTGTGTGTCCGTGTTTGTGAGTGCGTGCATGTTTCTTGGCCCACACGGAGCAGCAGGGTAAGGTCTGTAACTGCAACCACATTCTTTCCTTCCAGGCAGTGTAGGGCTACACACACACACACACAGATCACTGACCACAAACGGCCTACGTCCCTCATCACGGCCCTTTTACAGCAGCACCCGTGCCCGCCCGCTCTGCTTTCAGCCACTGGCCCACAGACCCACACGGCCCGGTCCGTCTCCCCACACCTGGGCCTGCCACAGTGGGGTCATGTCTGCTCTGCCCGCAGCCTCTCTGCTTTCGCTATCATCCTTCCAGGCTCTTTACCCTTAAATCATCTCTGTCCCAGCCAGGCATTTTGACCAGTTTGGCTGTGCAAATATCAGCACTTTTTAAACCGATAGTATTTGAATATGCCAATGAGACAGATGGTTTAACATTTGTTTATTAAAGGGACTTTCTGGGCAAAATGGAAAATGTACCCCATCATTTTTGTTGTAAACATGCCTGCTCACATCCTCCAGTGGTAGTCCTAGTTTAAGTCTAGGACACCCCACTTCTAATGATGCATCTTGAAGGTGGAAGTCAAATTTGAAAGCTCAGAAGTGCTACAATTGATTTGTTCCTTTAACAAAGAAAAATTTTAAGGTTAGCAATGCTGATATTTAGCCTTTACATCAGTGGCTAGGAGTCTGGATTTGCTTCGCATTGTTCCCTAATGGTTGTGTGATGTACTTGCGTAATGCATGCTGGGTACTGTAGTAAGAGAACAATATTGGAACACAAAAATGGTACAAAATAATGAATTCTGTCAAATTGATGAGACTGAGGGGTGCAATGCTGCACTATAGCATACTACATTATATAACATATAGCATATTAAATGCTAGTTTTCAGCTGAAACATCCCTTTAAGTGCAGCTATCTAGCATAAGAGGAGATCTGAAGCCACTTATTCAACCGACTTAGTGATTTATCTTTGGATTTTATACCATTTGACCTACAGAACAACCTCAGAGTTACACAACATTCTCTGTGGTTACGTCTTATTGGAATGTCTGAATATAAAAAAAAACTAAGATGAACATGGATGTCTGCATATTCAAGTAAGCACACCCTTCCCTGCTGGGTCTTCCTCAGAGTGAAAGCACTCGTTACCTTTCCCTGACCCCTGTCAGTGTTTCCACCCTTTTGGTCAGGGCAGGTCTAGGTCTGGCTAGCCCTAACCAGAGTGGGACGTGCTCAGACTGCTATGTCCAGCTGGCCAGACCTGAGGCTTTTAATGGGAGGGTTAGGGGTGAGGCCATTCATATCACACTATCATCACTGAGTATAACCAATTCTGACAAGGCAAGGTTACAAGCCTCACCATAAGCCACCCCCGCCCTGCACAACCCTTATTACCGAGACTCTAGTTTAGATTTAACAAATGCCAAAGAAAAGGGGAAAAAAATATCAAACACTATAATTTAAAATGATGGTGAGGGGATAAGAATGGTGGATTTAGTGTGTATGTCTGGCTTTCCCTCATCTTTTCCACTCCTTCGCAACTGTCTACGACCCAAGAGAACGCTTATTAAGTTGTGATAAATAAGGATATCATTGCCAATAATGCTTTTATGAAACTGCTGGCAACGGGGAGGAAATGAAACCATCATTCCTGCTGATTGTTTCTGCGAAGGCTCGGATATCCAGCGAGGAAATATTAAAGTCTGCTCCGTGAGCCGTGGCTGACATAAAAGGAGAATTTCACGTCTGTAAACTACGTCCTAATAGCTGCCATCAGCCATGTATCAAACATCAGTGCAAAAATCAAGCTCTGTGGCGTGCGAACACATCTGCTGGATCTTCCCAGGAGCGACAGCTTAACCTCTGCCGGCCTTGTGGAAACCATTCAGAAGCCGTGCAGTGAGGTTACACGAGACGTTAAAAAGCCCCAGAGTGGCTCCTGTCCGTGTCACATTTACCTCTCCTTGCACAGAGCACCCCAAAATCAACACTAATAAAGCTTAACCCCTGGTCCGACTCGAGGCTAACCTGAGAGGGCTTGTTTCACTAAGACTGTAAACTCATAAATGAAGCCTTCCCCAGCAGCTAGGCCAGAAAAGGCTCCGTGGCCTGGCCCCCATCTCAAAGCCGGAGCAGGGAAACGATATTCGGGAACAGGAATCCAGTCTGTCCAAGGAAAACATTCCCCGTAGCACACCTTCACCTCACTGTCAGGAGCACAGAGCGCAGGCTGTGTCACCTTACGCCGGCCCAGGCCCTCGGCCCATATAAAAGAGCCACATCTGGAGGAGGAATAACACGGCGCACGACGCCGCGCTGACAGTGTCCTCTTTAAACAGCGTTTTTTGGGGAAAGCCAAATATTTGACCAAGCTCCCTTCCAGGACAATGATCAAAATTAAAACAGCGGGGAAAGTTTGACTGCTCATTTTTTTCCACGTTTTCTTTTTTTCCGAGCTGGGATATCAAAGAGAAGCACAGGGACTTACAGACGACCCAGCTTGGGTGTGGACTGGAACAGCAGCTCCGGCAGAACCTGCAGCCGGTTCCGGTTCAGACGCCTGTGAGGAAAGAGAGAGAGAGAGAGAGAGAGAGAGAGAGGGCAGGGGAAGGACGAGAATTAGAGTGGTCAAAACAACCCCAGTCACAAGAGGAGCAGTGAAATGCAAGACGAACATTAAAGCATGCTCGTTGGAGAGATAGTGGAACATGAGCGTGCGAGGCAGAGAGACAGAGCTTAGGACTGTTTGACTTTACACGTTGACAGAAAGCTGACGCACGCAAACATCTGTCCTGGCACAGAGAACAGAGATTGATGGTAAGACAGGGCAAACACGAACAGCACACAAAGAAGCCAATCAATCTTTCTGATTAGGGCAATCGGCCAGGTCGACCTGACCATCGGGCCCAGGAACATGGAGACGGTGTCCTGGGGTCAAGGGTTACAGCTGTGCCTTGGCCGCTGGGAAAGACGTTGACTTCCTCTGAAGATGGCCTAGGTTATCTCCCACAGAAAGCTGTTAAAGGCTGTTATCCCTCGCATGAGCCTCCCCAGACTGGCTGAGGGCTTTCATGGGCTGACCCTTAACCATGGGAGCAGAGGGTTTTAATCAGAGGATGAGGGGATAATGGTGACCCCATGGGTCACGGGCCAGGCTGAAGGCATGTGGTGGAGGAGCGCTTCTGTCATCTCCCTCTGTTTTACTCCATTCACCTTCATGACATCAGCAGGCGCTGAGGAAAGGGATTCTCCGAGCAGTATCAGCTTTCAGCACAGAGCCCCGAGAGTCACGATCAGTTAGAGCTGATAGCCTCGACTCCCTAGCCAGTCTTACCCAGAAGAGACAGCAGCTTGCTTTTTTTGTAGCTGTAGAGTTTTTAGCAGCAGAAGACAAATTTGATGCTGTTTTGCAAAGCTTTGATGTCAGACTCATAGACTGAAATTAGGCCCGCTCAGTCTAGACTTTTGCCCCTTGCTGAACTGTAGTTATGTCCCATAAATGAGAGCCTGCTCTATTTTGGGCATCATGTGAAGAATATGCAATCTAAAAACCTCAAGCTCTTAGAAATGTCTCTTCCCTTGGTTTTGGTCTTTCTAACAGATTATGTTCTAAAAAGGAGAGATTAACACTGCTTCTGCAGCACTTTACCAACATATTATTACCCAGTGATATACAAGGCAGAGACGTCCATATGAATAACCCCTTTATGAAGAAGAAAAATCGCTAATTCTGCCTTTTAGGCTAGTCTTCATATTAAGTAATGGAATCTCTAAATGCTGTCACTGTGCTTATTTTTAAATGAGGAGACAATGATTTAACAAAGCTGAAAATCTATACATGTTTGTCATGAACTATCATCTTGAGCAAGCAAGGGACTGTAAACTGTACTTTTTTGGGTATAAAAGCTGTTACTGCGGTGATATCCTCAAGGGTACGTTTTCAACACCTTTATTCAGGAACATAATTGTACCATATTCCACTGCATTTCTTTGTTTTAAGGTTTTAAGTCACGTCTTGCTTTTTAATTTTATTTTTCTGCTTGAAAAAGTTCAGAACATATAAAAATATGCACCTTTCCCCTTGGAAAGAGAAGGTAGTAGATCTTTAAATTTAATTTAAGGTATACAATTAGACCCTAAGGACCATGTCGTACATAGTGAAAAAAAAAGATAATTAACAGTAAAAGTCATTTTTCTCAACGATGGTAAAAATCTGTAAAATTCCAATCATTTAATTTCTTAGAAATACCGCCTTTTACTGTAGAAAAGCCGTTACACTAGTTCAGCTTGTTATTCTCACATACAGTATTTTACTATAATAATAGCAGTAATCACCATTAAAGTAAATGCAAATGTCTGTGAAATAAAGGCGATCATTTGTTTTAGTGAATTTACATTCTGTTTCCGTAAATTAACAACAGCAGTGTAAAAAACAGAGTATGTGTGGTTATACATGCAATTAATCTTATTTTTAAAAAAAGAAGTATTAAATATCTATTATATAGTTTGTAATATTAATATATTATTATCCATGATGGTCCTTGTGTGCAATTTGCATATGATCTACCTGCTTTAGCTGACTGTGTAACTTCAGCTGTTAATTTTAATCAAGTGTAACTGACCGAGTCTTGTTCAAAGGCAGGGATAGTGACAGGCCGTTTAAATGATGTTTACTGTGATTGGCTGTTTCTTTCTAAATATGGTCCTAAAATGATTACCAGGTTTTTTCCATCTACTTGACATTTAGTAGAGATTTTTATAGGTATAGAGTAACATAGATGTAAAGCAACGACATGGTGAGATTACTTTTCCCAGGAAATGAGAATTGAGAGATATATTACTCATTTATAATGGTGTACTTTTTTGAGTGACCACCCCAGCACTGAAGGGAATATAAATGGGCATGTTGGGCATGAGGCTGAGTCACAGTCACACTGGTCGTACTGGGTCACTGGGGACAAGCAGGGCTAAAACACTGTGAAATTCCTAATGTGAGTGACAGGCAGAGGAATGCACAGCATAAGACCCTGGCAAATACAAGCCCTATGAGGCAGATGTTGACTAAAAGTTTTCAGGGGTGGTAACAAACACACACATATCGTCTCACACCAGTGAAGGCAGATGGCCTCTAAATTTGCTTTTCTTTTCTTAACACGCTGTCATCGGGCAGCGGATTTGGTCAAATTCCGACAGAACCACACACATCTTCACAGACAAGAGAAAAAACTCAAACAATTCACACACAAACTCAGAGTCTCTGACAAAGTCAGTCCTCAGCCAGCTGTGCAGTCTGTGCCTGACCTTGCCCATATATAGCAATGGCCTGCTTGTTTGCCTTAACCCACTGGTCAACTTTGCTCAGAGGTGTTAAGATTCTCACCAGCGAAGGACAAATGGATGTCTGTCTCATGGCAGGGAGCAAATGAGGATGGCAACCTGCAGCCCATGAAATTGAAGTTTTTGAAGTCACCTTCAGATTTTTAAAAGCTCCTTTCAACCATCTGAGGTGTCTTTTAGAGTGAGACAGACAAAGTTAGTGGTCATAAAAATGAACTCTCTGCACAACGAGTCACACGCACATGCTAACATGCCTGAAAGATCTGTCTTCACTAGATGGTGGAATGAAAAGAGTTGAAAAGAGACACACTTGCCTTTAAAATTTGGGGACACCTAGCTGTTTATGATAAATGGGCAGGTTTAATGTAAAATGAATTAGAAAGCTGTTATATGCAAGACACTCCAGATGAATCCTTGCCAATTACTAAGATTCAGTATTTTACTAAGATAAGTATTTTTGTATTAGACGTTTTCCAAAAAAATCCATAACATTTAGACATGAAAATGCGATGTTATCTAATTAAATATGCTTAAATTTGCATATTTAAAAAATCTCACATTCTGTATTAACCTTCAGAAAAGAACAGGTAAAATGTAATGAATGCAGGTACTCTACACACTTAATGTAGAGAAAACTATTTTTTTAAGAGAAGATGTTTTTAAAGAACAGGCCTTAGAAACGCACTAGGAGGTGATATCTCACAAAGCATGCAGTATTTCAAAGGAAATAGGCAAACAAGAAAGAAAACATGACATGAAAAGTCTTCATTAAGGTTGTTTACTTTTGGAAAGTTGGACTTTTGGAAAGAACTGAGGAAACACGCTGGAAAAAAAACACATTCATGAAGAGTTTTGATATTTTTAAGATTACAGTTTAAGAGAAGAGTTGTTATAGATGTAATTTATTATTCATTCATTTTTGCCTGTAGTGTCTTGCCTTAATTGAAAAAAATATTGAAAATTGCCTTTGAAAAAAAGATTTCAAAAGAAGGCAATGGGTCCCCCATTCTTTTTGCAGACAGTGTACTGTGCAAGAGTGTTAGACAGCCGTGACAATCTTGGCACTAAGTGTGTTTTTTGCCAGTGCAAACATGATATAACATACATAACGATAAACACAACTACAGTATCTCTTGCTTTTAGGTTAGAACAATACAGTTAGAAGAACAGGTTTGGTTCATCAGCAGCACTTATTTAACTTAATGAGGAATTGATTAGAGAAACTAGGTATTGATGGATGACTGTAAATACAATAGTTCATCTAAGAACACTGACAGACATAAAGTCACAATGTAATGTTTAATTATTTACTCCCATGTTTATTCTAATGTTAGTGTTCTGAACTTTTGTACAGTACTGTATATTAACGTTTTATGGTGCTGATACTTACAATCTTTCCAGCTGCTTGAGGTCCTGAAAAGCTCCTCTCTCAATCACACTGATCTGATTGTTCTCCAAATGCCTGTGGAGAAAGAAGCACAGCTTCATTATCTGATCAGATTCACTGCCACAACTACTCCCTGACACTGATTACTCAGCCTGATTGGTTAAAGCAAACTCCGAAGTGGAGCCTCCCCCAACGTGAATTCATCATGTCACAACAGTTAACGATTAGCTGATTTTGATACATTAAAACCAGAGACGATTTCCCTCTCTGATTCTCCAGAGCGTGTGGTCGGCCCCCGGAAGGACGGCGTTCGTGTTGGACATGCCTGTGAGGTCCTAGTGGGTACATTCGGCTCTCCCCTCTGCTCTGAACACGTTTCAGGGCCCCTAAGGTTTTCCAGATGCATTACAAAGGGACTACATCTCTGTGGACATTTCATGTTTAGAGTTGTGTCTCTCTGAATTAGAGCCAACATGCAGTGACATTCATGGGAAGCCAACCAGACTGCCACTGACGGATACTCCAGTGCTAGATGATACAGGCCAAAGAAAAAAAATGGAATGACTGGACTAAAATATCCGGGGCCTGTAATGTGGAACTCTGCTTTGGCAGCTCTGTCAGGGCCATAAATTGCCTTTTAAAGCAAATGTTTGTACATGGGTCTGTATTACTGCCATTAATCCATGCTTTGTCATTTTTTTTTGTCCAAAAGAGATGACACACTTGGCTATGCACTACAGAGAGGCTTTGGATAAGACGCAGTATGAGAATACCACAGATTTTCTAACCCAGATCCAGCACGGTGAAGCCAAAAACGCAAACTAGTTGGCTTTTGCTCCAGATAGGCAGAGCCTGTGTTGAATCATTTGCAACAATCACATTCTTTGCTGATAACAAACATATCCTATAGCCTATGCCTTACATCAATCTAGGACTGAATAACAATCTGGCTTATTCATACAAATGGGGGGATCAGTCCCATGCTGGTTTATGTATTGGCATTAAAAGTAATCTTATTCAATCCCCTCCAGATGGGCTTTGGTGTGTGGTGGGGAATAATAGCTGTTCTTTTTTCTTCGCTTTTCACTCAATGTTTTTTGAAGTGTTCTATAGAAACATATGGGGCACAGGCAAACACCTATGATTTCACAGAGCTGAGGAAGAGAGCAAAAGCTATCTCCACTGGAGGCTGAAGTAGCGCGCATGGCATTTGAAATGTACTCTCTGTTGTTCTTGCCCTAAGCACTAACTAGACGTGAGGCTTATAGGATAGCTCAGGTCAGCGCAGCTGGCGTTTCCTTAAGGATCGAGCCATGAGAGTGAGATAGGGTGTCCGTGAGCTGCGCTTTCGGTGTGCTGAGGTGTGTGGGGAGGCTTGTCTTATGTTATCAGATGGAGGGGATCACAGTACCAGCACTCCGGAGAGATAAAGGGGTCCGGTGCAGGTTACTAGGGGCAAAAGGGCGGCCCGCTTTGGGGTTTTCATTGTAAGGCTCTGGGGGTGGGCAATATGGAAAAAATATATCACGATCTTGAAGACATTTTTTTGGTACGAACTAAGTATCACGATATTTCATTTTTCATTTGAACTCTAAAAAACATGCAAAATAGTATAAAATAATGAGTACTTTTTTATTCAATCCAATTAGGCAGGATCAATTCCACTTGCTTCAAAAATATAAGACAGGCTCTTGTGTTATTAAGAAAACAAATCAAGTGGATATTAATTTAACTGACTCATTTTTTAAAAAATGTACTTAAAGTAATAGTGCTGAAAGAATGTAATTATCCCATTAAATCAGCCAAAGCCTATCAAGTCACATAAAGAGAATGAATTGTGTTCTCAAGGGATTTCCACATGGTATCACCAGACGCACACTGAAATAAGTTAAGTCTGTTGTACTTAAAACAGGATGTAACCCACATTACTCAACTATTTTGAATTAGTCGAACGTCTTTGATTATTTCTTGTATACAAAGATTTCATTGGTTCCTGGCTCCATCTGTTTGCATATCAGGCATGTATTTTCTATTGTTTTACTCATCATCTCTGCGTTGTTTTCCTCCTAGGCTTTTCTTGGGTATTTGCTTTCATGTGAGTTAATTCCTAGCCTTGTTATTGTTGGTGTTATCATATTTTCTACTGCTGAGTGAGGCTCTAAACTGACTGGGCACTATAGTAACCACTTATAAACAAACTGTAGTAAGATAAGTTGGACCAACATAAGTTAAATCAACACTAGTAAATCAAGTTCAATGAACTTTAATTAGTTGAGGTGGAGATGTGAGAGCAGATTAGGTTTAGCCAATTATAGAAAAACATGTTGAATTGCTTTAATTGTGTGGAAATAAGCTCCATAGTTCGATTAAGTTCATGTAAAAAATATTTTTTTGAGCATGCCTTAGGTTCTATTAACTGGACGAGATTTTTAACAGCTTTACTACTTGGGAGCCCCTGTTAAACCTATTTTAAACCCTTTTCACATTAGCCATAAAATGTAGTTTCCACTTGTTTTAGAGGACGTCGCTCAGTTGAGCTATGCACTGTACCCCTCCCTTATTGCCTCTCATTGCTCTCTAACAGCTCATCACAGAGTCACAACAGAGAGCCAACAATGTCTTTGTTAATTTGATAACAAAGTAATAAGGAAACACGTTTTATTTGATTATATCTTGGCCTGTAGAACGAGGCTACTGGAACACACACCATTGATTGATGTTCTTTAAGTACTGACGACATCTATAATATGCTCAGAAAATCGTATAGTGACATAATTTATCTTTATCATATCACGCATTCTTATGTGGCACACACCATGAAACCCACTGGCCACCGCCTCCGCTTCTCACCACCCACTTGGTTATTTTCCTTTTTTTGACTCGTTTATTTTTATCTGCACGCCTTTCTCTCTTTACAGGCTCTTCCTCGGGAGGTAAACAGTACAGAGGACTCCATGATTACAGTCATTAAGCTCCTAACACACTTGTTCTGGCAGTGCGCAGCTCGCTAGCTGAACTCGAGCAGGCCGCGCGGCCCGGAGAGGCCGACCGCCATCTGTTTATTTTCGTTCAGCGCGGCCGCTCTGTGAAGAATACACTTCCATGTTCCTCAAACTTCTGAGCGAGTTTGAAGGTTGACTGAACATGAGCCAGTGACTTCACTGCTCTGCTCAGTCAGAGGGGTCATGTTAAATATGTCGGATTTACTCAGATTAAGTGTCTGTGTGTTTTATTATGACTCGTGTCTTACAGTAATCCTCTCTGCTCCACAACTGAAACACTTTGATGGCTTTGACTGCTAAGACAACAGAGAGGTGAAGGGGGGGCTTTTGGGATTGAAAAGGACTTTTCAGCGGGAGAGACGCTGAGGGGTTACTTACAAAACTCGGAGGTTCTTGAGCCCAGAAAAGTCCACCTTGGTGATCCGAGTGATGTTATTCCTGTCCAGGTCCCTGTTAGACAGAGAGAGTGTGTTTGATTTTTTAATAAGACATTTATTCATTCACCATATGAACTATGATGAACTTTAGTTCATAAGCTCCAAACATAACATACTTCAAGTACAGCTGAGTGAAATATCATCTATACTGCTATATCGTGATATCCACATACTGTGATACTGGTTTTCAGTTTTAACTATATATAGCACTATAAATGGTACATAATAACCATTATATCCATAAGTTAATCCCAATAAAAAAAGTGGCATCTATTGCCTAGTAGTGTTTAGTTTTTTAATTGTACTCTGTGCTTTACTCATCATATTAACTGACAGTATATTGTTTTAAAAGTGAGTTTAAATTCCATAAAATGAAATAAACAGTAAATTTCCTTTCTCTCTGGTTCACGTTAACAATAGTGTTTAATGTCCTCTTTGGTATCCACAGTATAACTATCCAATCTAAACATGCTCTGTCAGGTGTTTAGGACATTCTTTTAGCATAGCATACCAGTACTCATGAAAAATACTCTCATTAACTTCATTAATACACACCTAGTTATCATCTGATACTGTTATATTGTGATATATTTGAAAAAATATGAGGACACTGAAATTTATCAGTATCACCCAGCTCTAAACCTCAGCTATGTCAACTCCATGGACAAACAAAGGTCAATGCTCTCTCTACCAAAGTGCAAAAATATCTTCACAGCACCATTAAAAGTCTTCAATATCACTGAAACAATTAAACTCCAGATCCAGATTTTACAACAGCAATAAAACAGTTGCACAATTTCCTTAAAAGATCTCCTCTCTAATACTCTCTACACACACACAGAGAGCACAGAGAGAGAGAGAGAGAGACAGAGAGAGAGAGAGACAGAGAGAGAGAGACAGAAAGGGAGAGAAAGAAAAAGAGAAAAAAGAGAATAATAAGTGAGAGAGAGAAAGAGAAAGAAAGAGAGAGCAAGAGAAAGAGTTGGAAAGTAAGAGCGAGAGACATGAGAAAGAGTTAAAGAGCAGAGAAAAAAGAAAAAAGAGAAAGACGGAAAGAGAAAGAGAGAAAGGAAGAGCGAGAGATAAAGATAGAGAGAGAGAGATGAGCAAGAGACAGAGAAAGAGAAACAGAGCATAAGAAAAAGAGAGAAAGCGAAAGAGAAAAAGTGAAAGAGAGAGAGAAAAGTAAGAGACAGAAAGACTTAAGGAAGAAGAGAAAGAAATATAAAAAAAGAGAGTGATGAAAGGAGAAAGAGAAAGAACGAGAGAGATAAAGACGGAAAAAAGAGGAAAAGAACGAAACAAAGAAAGGGAGACAAAAAATAAGAGAGAGAAATAGAGACAGAAGAGACAGAGAGAGGGAGAGAGAGAGAGGGAGTATAACTGATAATTTCATATATCAAAACTGTGACAGTGTAAGTTCTAGTGCTCTGTAGAACATGTTCTGTACGGTGTGCTAAATCACAAAAACACACTCACTAAATCAACTGAATAATCAGGTACAGATCACATCTTAAGCTAACAGTACACAATAAATGAGCTTTAACCCTCCAGTGTCTCTGTTTCTTATTCATAATCATTGTATTTTTTTCTTTTTGGAATTAATTGAATACAGTTAGTTTACAAATGTGAATATTCAAATAGAAAATGTTAAAATGCTTGTGTTCAGTAAGGAGTCAGCATGAATGTGAAAGTTCCTGGCTGGCTGCAGTCCAGCAGGCCTAACTCAGTACCTGCTCCAGATGCCCACAGGGCTGCTGCTTTGAAGGCCAGCGTCTGCCAGGGCGCATTAGTGCCCTAATGTGGAGGCCTGGACCTCAGAGGACGGAGAAACCAGCCCTCGCTGTCTGCCCTGCACCTACACTACTGCAGCCACTGAGCCTTTAAATAATCCCATACATGCATTCATACTAGGGGCTATAACAATCACACAATGCACAGCTCATTACCATTCTATACAGTGGTGTCTCATATCAAAGCATTTTCCCATACAACAAATCTTAAGAGTGCCTGAAAACCTGTCCTGGGTGCCCATTTTCAATTTATTAGAACATTCAAGACTGTAAAGGTACCGTACTTGAAACTTGGTGGTTCAGACTGGTCCACTAAATAAAACTAAATTAAATGTGATACAGAAGTTGTCTCAGCTCAACAATCACAGCACTGAACTGAATTGCACTTTTTACACCGATTTTTCACATGGATGACGTCTATAACGAGCAGACAGGTTTGAGATACTAGCAGTGGTCACTATAATTTGGCAGATTGGCACACTGTAACTTTTTGGACTACCTTTTATTAGCCATCAGCACTGTAACCCCAATTTTCTCCCCAATTTTGTCATATCTAATTCCACCCCGAGTCACACGATACCACCACTGCTAGGAGGGCAAAGCTAGCACAGGCTTCCTCCGAGACCTGTGAAGCGCCACTGCATATTTTACACACATCATTGGACAGCACTGTGACTTAACAGGAAGACAAACTACTCCCAAAAAACAAGAATTTAAGGATTTCAGGGGGAATCTTTGAGTTGATTTTCTAATGCGCTAATAACTTGAGCTAATATGCTAGCTGCTTTTCTAAGCTTGTTTACCAGAGGCATGTTTTTTTCCTTCTGTCTATCAAGTTTTTGAGGTAAAAAGCGAGCACTTTCACAGAGTAAGGATGGTTTGACATCTCTGTGAGTTCACTTATTTAAATTTTTCATTATAGCTCACACAAAATAAGCAGTATTTTATAACCTTATTTGCTCCAGGCTGTTGGATGTATTGCTCGAGGCCTGTGGCACTTCAAATTAAGAGCCTTGTTTCGACAATATGATACAACAAATTGTTACACCTCAAATTCCCTCAAATGTACATTTAAGCAAAAATATAACAGCCTGTTTGCCTGTCATACAACAGAAATCATTTGAAAAGATCTACGGTACAACATCACATCACTTTCTCGCTCGTCTTTGTTTTAGATTACAGGACATAAAGCAGGTAGCAGATTTCTCCAAATTTCACTTTAATGTCTTTGTTCGGGGATTACAGAAGGCCCAGCGTGCATTACTGCAGCAGCGCAGCACATGAGGCTAAACACAAAGCATGCCTCCAGCATAAGAGAGACAGATTGCACAGAGACAGCTCTGTTTGGGAAAACCATTCCCGACGCATCTGAACGGCCACATTATACCAAACTGATCGATGCACCACAGGACTCCATCAGTTATCTTGTTTCCAGGCTGTTACCCTGTACACACTGACTCTACAAATGTATACTCTGCAGATAATGTGTGTATACGCCAATACACACTAACTAACTTCCTCTAAACACTGTTTACTGAAGTTACTGTATTCCACACTGGTAGGATTAAAACTCCAGAACACACACGCACACACAAGCCTACCTCCAGCGAGTGTGTTTCTCATAACATACATAAACATTTATAAATCTGATTTAAGGACGTATTGAATTTCAAAAGACTTCCCCCGCACCACAAAACGCACATCAGGAGCACTAATATGAGCCATATTGTAGACATATTATAGCGGAGAGGCACTGAAAAGACAGCCACATATGCTCTTGCTCTTTCATATGCTTTCTTTGCTCTTATACAACTATCACTTCTATTGTACTTTTGCTGGCTTAAATCTATGCCTCTTCTTTCAATATGGGCTTTAACATGCGAGGCATAGATAAAAACAAGGATTGTTAACTATTAACAATTATAATGCTATACTTGAAAAAACTTGAAGGGTCACAATAAATTCTGTAATCTGTAATACTGAGCTCAGTTCTACAGCTTCACTTCTATACCACATTAATACATGCCCAGGCCTTATTTTGGCTGTGGTATTATGTCTTTTATTCAGTCTGTATTACTGCATTATTGCAAAGTGTCCTCTAGGATTAGCTATTAGATCTCTTGAGCTTAGCTAGTATGATTAATGTTCTGCATTACTGATTAACACTAAGCACCATACTTGAAAAACAGATATTCTGCTGCAAACAAAATACTGTTGTACTTATATAATGACAATAAAATCCGTTCCACAACACAGGAAAATCAAGACACACTATGAAAAACACAAGCCTGTAAACATAGACAATAAAAACTGACACTAAAGTAAAGGACAACACAAATTAAGTTCTGGTAGACTAAAGTTTAAATTAAGTTAAAATACAAAGGCATTTAAAAGTTGGCCTGATCATCGGAGGATCACAGCCATCTGTGGCTTGGAGTCCAAAACAGCATAGCTGGCCTCGCTCTCTCTGGGTGAGGCCAATTATTTATGATTGGCCTCCTTCTCCCCCCATCACGCAGTGCAGTGGTAGCCAAAGTGGACGTCTGTTAGCTGACGAAAGCTTTAGAACTCTGCAGCCCTAAAGCTTTACTTCTACACACTTAAAAAAGATGGTTCTTCAAGGGTTCTTTAGTAAAGGCAATGGTTCTATACAGAACCATGAGTTCAATATAGAACCATATTATGATTAAATGGTTCTTTGCATGGTGAAATGGTTCTTCAGAATGTGCTGTATATGGTTCTACGTAGAAGCTTTTTGAAAATGGTTCTATATAGCACCAAAAAGGTTGTGCTATTGTTATGATGTCAAGATTGTAACAATAGAAAAGCTCTTTTTGGGGCTACATAGATTCATTTTCCATTAATATGGTAACTGAAAGCTCTCCAGTTTCTGGAATGACCAGCAAATTTCTTCTTGATGAGCTGAGTGACCTAGCAGAAACACACTGGACAATCGTTTTATGATGATAAATAGAGAAATTGACTCAGGGCCCATTGAGAAATTTCTCATTCACTTTTTACTGCTTTCTCACATGAACTCTTGCTGTGATCACACCTGTTAACCGTAAGTAGACAGTTCAGCCAAGACTTATAATCATCAGTCTAGCTTTTTTTAAATTTATTTGTGTTTTGTTTTATAGAAATTATAGAAATATTTTTGACCTATATCATTAATCTCTCAGCATCTGTCTGGTTAAAAGTGATCATACTAACTCTATCT